TTCTTTACCTGTTTTTCGTCCGTCTGTCGAGTCGGCCTCGTCTTCCTCTCCGTCAATATTTTACAATAATTTTAATTACAATTCGCGCTTCCAATTAACTCGACGCCACAGACGATCTCGCTCCACTGCTCTCGCGCACGCCTAGCCCTTCCCACCCTCAGCGCTTCCACGCGAGGCCCGCCCCCCACCGCCAGCCAATAGAGAGCGTCCGTCGGCTCGTCCAGCCAATGGGCAGGGAGCGGGAGGAGGGCTCAGTACCTCTCGGCCTGTGATTGGCCGGTAACAAGCACACCTGCAGGTGTCTCCTGAGCATCTCGAGCCTATCACCTGGATTTATCACGCACTGATATTCAGGACCGCGCCCGGTTTTTGCCTGAAATGTCAACGTGCGCTTTTGACTCCCGAACGAATTTCTTATTTCCGTCCATAACAATTTTGGTCCCCGGAAATGTGGAGGTTCTAGCCTGCAATTCTAAAAAAAACCGTTAGAAATGAGAAAAATAACGTACCCGAAGAGAAAGAAATGTCGGTATCCCCCCTAGTAGCACAGCTGGGTCACGGGGGTGGAAAAACGCCAAACCCGAACCTCTTCCGGCCGCCGAGGAAAAAGAAAATCACGCGTCACCAGTGAAATTTCGTCAGAAGAGCTATCACCTGCACATATAAACACGATGCTTCAATACATATCTGTCTTCATGGAGACTTGTCAACGCCTGCCCCACCGGTGTTATCCAAGCAGATTTTAAAAGCAGTACTGCGAAAGTATTGCAAAAAAGGTTATTCAAATGATTGAAATGGAGGTCGTTAAAATTCACATGCCCCTCAATTTATAGAGACCTTATTTATAGTATGTTCTGGGAAACAGTACACACAGGAAACACAGGACGACATAGTCATTTTGTGCTGTCATTTTATTTTTTCACGTAAAAGCACCACAAGCCAGCTGCCACAATGTGCCAGCTGACCTCAGGTCAGTAACTGGTAGCCATTGAGATAAGGGCTTCTGTTGCTTCATAATACCAATAAGATCGTTGCTGACAAATTACAATAAACTCACTATTTAATGAAATGATTTTTCTAAAAATATGTTGTTCAATTTGCACTTTATTGTGTTTGTGTTTCCGGCATCAAATATAGTGTAGTAGCTAGTCGGTGATCCTGAATTTTATACTGGTACTCAGCTGAATCCAGATTTCACTTCTAACATTTGAATATAGAATTGTCATATGAACTGTCTTCTTTATGGAACAAAGGTTGGGAACGTGAATTAAATTCCTCATTTCAGTTTTAAATATAAACACAGATTTATTTTAAATATGAGTTGTGCCGCTTATAAATTATGAAGTATAGCATGACACCTCTATGTAGTAAAATATGCAGCGCTTTAAAAACTAGAATTTAAGCACCTTTTACCCTTTTTACTTCTGTTTTACCTGTTAACAGGTAATATGTTTGAGCTAAAAGATAACACTCTTTTCCCTCGGGTATCATTTCGAATACTATTTACAACTCTTGTCTATAAGAATTTTATGTCCTGTGGTTAGAAAATTATGGATTGATCTGCAAAGTGATATAAAGAAAGGCTTCTGATATTGACGTTACCTTGAAAGAAATAGATAGTCACGTTCATTTTTAATCTCATTGAAAATAAAATGAAAATATCCTTTGGCAGTGACTGAATCATCGTACTTGCACGTTATTATGGATGCAGGTGGATGCTGCACATTGGTGGAGGTTGAGGGGTCCAGAAAAGCGCTATATAAGTGTAAGCAATTATTATTAATTATTATTATTATTATGCACAGAAAATGAAATGGTCTGGGAAGAGACCCGCGGTTGAGCAGTGTGAAATAAACCGTATCCACAGATTATTTCTGATTATTTATGTGAGAACACGAAAGCAGGGCGGGCTTCATCTTGATTCACCTTGGTTAATCCTTTTTTGTAAAGTGCAGTTGTCTTACTGCATGCACCCCTGGCGATGTTATTGGTGTACTCTTGTCTGTATTATATGGGTTGTTGTTGTTACAAGAACAAAAACAGTTGTTGTAAACTGCTGCGCTCTTGCGGTGCTGTAGCGGAATCCGGCAGGGGGCGCTCGCACATTTAAGCCGCCCGTCTTGTCTCCTTGACCCGGAAATATATTCGTGTGTGGGTGCGCGTGGGGGGGAAGGGGAGGGGTGAAAGGTTATTACTGCGTTCGAGCGTCGAGACGGTTGTTGCGTTGCTGTCGGTGTTTTCGATCGTGGAAAAGACATTTTTGGGGGTTGTTAAAAAAAAGAGAACTCTCTAGCGCCAGGGATTGTCTACGCCGTTGGCGAGTGGGCTTTGTATCGATAGTTTACTCGCCTGTGGCTTTTTCCCCTGTTTGTATTTTTACCCTCCTGCGCTCGCTGACGGGATGCGCTCCTCCAAGAAACACAAGGAGAAGGACCGGGACCGGGACACGGAGGACCGGCACCGCGAGCACAGGAAGCACAAGCACAAGGAGAAGGACAAGGACAAGGACCGGGAGAGGGAGCGGGATGGCGCCAAGGACCGGGAGAAGAGGAAGCGCTCCCGGTCCCGGGAGCGGGGCCGGGGCTCCGAGAGGGAGGGCCGGGGCAAGGCCGACAAGAGCGGCGCCGAGCCGCGGGTGAAGAAGGAGAAGACGGACGCCGGGTACGAGGAAGGTGCGTCGGTTAACGACTTCGGACGAGAAAAAAGCTGCAGCTCTCTCCCTTTTTTTTTTTAAAAAAAAGTTCCTTCTCAAAGTAATAGCTGTGCGTGTATGTGTAATAATAATAAATGTACGTAGCGCCTTTAGAAGTGGGTTCTCAAAGCGCTTCACAGAATAACAGCGACAGGATGTAAATATGCAGGGGGACAGGAAGAGGTTTATTCCGAGACGCGGAGAAAAGAGACGCAGGGTTTCGGCCGTGGAGCCTTTTTCAGGCGCGTCAAGTCCCTACAACCCAATACCTTGCGTCTCTTTTCTTGTCCTCCCAGCAGGGAATAACCCCTTTACCTGTTCCTCTGCAGCACCGCGCTTGCAGACGCAGCTCGATCCTCGAAGGTGCGGTGAAAACCGCAGTAATGGTCACGGTTGGTAGCGGTTCGGACCCGTCGCTGTGCTCCGTGAGAGTCTGGTTTTGTAACACTCCAGAAAACGCGAGAAAGCGGCTCATCTCCCCTCCCTGGCCACGGCTTCATCAGCACAAGAGCCTCACTCAGCTGGTGAAACCTGGAGTGGATCAGACTGCTGTGCAATGGGAATCACGAACACTGTGTGTTGTAATGCTGTGCCAGCCAGCCAGCAATCCAGTCAGTTAGCAGTGGCAGCCCCACTGGAGCCCAGCAGGGTGAGCCTGGCCAGTACCTGGAGGGGAGACTCCTGGGAGAGCTGAGGCTGCTGCTGGAAGAGGTGTTAGTGGGGCCAGCAGGGGGCGCTCACCCTGCGGTCTGTGTGGGTCCTAATGCCCCAGTATAGTGATAAGGACACTGCACTGTAAAATAGTCCCCGTCCTCCGGATGAGATGTAAAACCAAGGTCCTGACTCTCTGTGGTCATTAAAAATCCCAGGGTGTCTCTCGAGAAGAGTAGGGGTGTTACCCCAGTGTCCTGGCCAAATTCCCCCCTGGCCTGTACCCATCATGGCCTCCTAATAATCCCCCTCTCTTTACTGGCTCCATCACTCTGCTCTCCTCCCCACTGAGAGCTGGGGTGTGGGGAGCGGACTGGTGCATCACCCAGGTGGGGGTGGAGGGGATCCCCATGACCTGTCCTGGAGCCTCCACTCAGAGCTCTGTAAAGAGCTATCGAATAGTAAGGACTGTTATTTATTGTTGTTGTTCTTGCTCATCTGTGTCGTTTCTGGCGATGTTAACGCGCTCTGAACTGTCTCCGTGCAGCGGCTGGTCCAAAGTCTGCCTCCGGGGATGCCTCTCTCAGCATCGAGGAAACAAAGTAAGTGAGCAAGGGCGGTTTAACAGTGATGGGGAGGGGGGGGGTGATGTTATCCGGGGAAATGGATCGGATCACAGGGTTTGCCAGCAGGAGTACCTCTGTACACACTTCCATCGTGACAGTCTGTAATTGTGTCAGGAAAACCATTCACTCCAGTCTGGTTGTTCTTTTCCCCCTCTAGTAAGCTGAGGGCCAAGTTGGGTCTGAAGCCTCTGGAGCTGAATGAGAATAAGAAGGGTAAGTGTTGTGTGTGGGCTTGGGGCTACATTTAGTCCTGTAGGTCACCCTGAATCACGGGTCTCCAGTCCCAGTCCTGGGGATCCCCAATCCAGCGTGTCTTACAGGTCACCCTGAATCAGGGGTCTCTGGCTCTGGTCCTGGGGAGCCCCAATCCAGCGTGTCTTACAGGTCACCCTGAATCAGGGGTCTCCAGCCCTGGTCCTGGGGAGCCCCAATCCAGCGTGTCTTACAGGTCACCCTGAATCAGGGGTCTCCAGCC